GCAATCTACAAGTTGCGAGATTGCTTATGGGCCTGGGAATGGATCCCAATTTCCGGGACACCCATGGCCAGACAGCCGTATTCTACGCAGTCCTGCAAGGGCATCTCCAGATGATGAGGCTACTGACTGGCATGGGAGCCGCCTTGGATGTGCAATCAAATGAGGGCAAGACCCCTTCGCACATGACCAAGAGCAACGAGTGGAAAACGGAGATCAGACGGCTTATTGCCGATCAGAAAGCGAGGGCTGAGCATGCAATGCACCGATGTGGTCAGGATCCAAATAAGATCCTAGAAGTNNAGCTGGATCCGGAGCGGGTTTGCCCCGATGGCCAAACTCGCATCCCGATGGTGCACTGGATGTTTCAACACGCACCAGAGAAGCCATTCAGCCGGATTCGCAGGGAGGACGACAAAGTCCTAACAGAAGGCTCTGGCTATTTTGTCTGCATCGCTCCTGCAAACGCCGCCAAGCGCATCAGGCAGTCGGAGACTGGGCGCCAGTAGTAGGAAATCGTCCATGTCTGTTTTAACGTGTTTTATCTTTTGCCCAATGTTGCCCAACCAGCTTTGATTCAAGAAACAAGTATGCCAAGCTTTTCATCCGAGCCGTAGTCGAGTCAGGAACGTGAGCTGGTCTTCGATCACAGCAACTTGTTTGTCAAGGAGCCGTGGTACTCGAGCATGTCTCCGGACAACTGGTGTGAACAAGTAGGGGTGGGAAAAGAAGACACCAAGGCCTACCTTGAGGTGGGGAGCCCGGAAATTAGGGGTCGTTACGATGCTCCCAATAAGGGTTGACTATCATATTTTGCAGTATATCCACGGCATTTCCCTATTTTGCCCAGGCAATCGAGAACAACATTACCGGGGTGGCTCCCAACTCGTTTACTCTGGCCGCTGTGGAAGAGCTGGATGGCAATGTGGTGGGGTATGTGCATTGCAAGCGAAGCCACTCGGACTCTAGCTCTTTGGCTTCTTGTTGGGTTGGGCCCGAAGGATGCTTCAATTTCTTTTGTCTCTTCCCGGTATCCAGAAAATGGGAGGGGCCTGAATTGGGTATTCTTGTCATAGACCCTAAGCCCGAAATCCCAGACCCAGTCAGCCCAGGAAAAAAAGAGCTTGTCATCGGCCATCTAAAAGTGGACTGGGAGCACCAGGGCCGGGGCATTGGCCACATGTTGATCCTCAGCCACTCTGGAAACGTTTTCTGCTTGTCTGTAATCCTGCTGAAAAAGAATGGAAAACTTGGTAAGAAAATCATATGAAAACTGGGCTTATGTAGGACTGTTAGGATTGATGATTAACGATGCTGCATGTGCTCATACAAAAGTACCATACGTACCAAGGATTAGGTTACGTAGGGTGAAGCCAAAATTTGGGATTCCATCGTAGCGCGCTGATTCCAGACTAAGTGCACTTGAAGCTCTATTGACATAAGATACCAATTTGTTTGCGAGGATTGCTGCTGGCGAACACTGGGCGCAGCAGCGTGGGTGGAAATTTGAAAGCACGCGCCTGACAGTTCTTAAAAAGAACTACCAGGCGCGCAATTGTTATGAGAAAGATGGCTTTCGGCAAAAGTCCGAGAGCGTGGGCAACTTCCCCACCGTAGGTGGTGATCCTGAGCGCTGGCACGCCATGTCACGCGGCTCAAAACGGGCCGCGGACAGCGCCTGGATCATGTCAAGGAAGGTCCGCCGGCTACAGTGAATTCATGGCACTGCGCAAGGTTTCAAAAACGAAGGTGTCGTTTGTAGAGAATGTAGAGGGCTTGCCATTTACGGCCTACGTGGCTGAGGACAGGTAGACTCTCTTTCTGTTGGCGGGTCATGAGCATTATCCGTCACTATCACTACCAGGCTTTCACGATGCTCACGGGTATGTTCACGGACAACATTTGCGTCAGATCCAGGCCTACTTTAAGGCAGCTGGAGGTGTTACGAGGATCTTCTTGGACATGTTTGAAGGTGGCACTGGAGACAAGCCAAGCTTCTCAGAGTTCTTTGCATACTTTCAATCAGCAAGTTCGTAATAAACTTGAAGTAGCCCACCTCAACAGCCCTTCAGTTTAGGACACAGGCACTGCATGGGGTGTCTTATTCTCCCTTAGAGCATCTTTGACTTATGCATAGAAGCTATTCTCCCAGGAATATGTTTTCAGGTTTCAGCTCCCCTTTCCCACGCCCGACCAGTTCTATCTGTGGGGCAGGGTAGGAATGCTTGATGCATTGAAAAGTCACTGTATGTTCCTATTGGATGTGATCCGAGAAGAGATCTCTTTGTTTATCAGCAGCTATTCTGAATGTCAGGCGCCTGCACACGGACCACAAGTACATCCTCATCGACGGTGTGGCTTTCCAGGAGCGAAAGATAGCGTCGAGAGAGCACAAGCTAGAGTAAAGAGCACTTGCGCATTGGACTGAGTTGTCACGAAGCATGCCGCTAAACCTGAAACCTCCGGGCGTGTGGAACAATGCAGCAAAGAGGCGACGAAGGCAGAGTCCGCACAAAAATAAGAAATGCCAGGACACTGCTCAGGACGACTTCACCCGCCGCGCACTCTTGCTTCTGTGCTTACAACCGGACTTGGATGGAGAAGATCGTGCTGAACAAGAAGCGGGCGCATGGCGCGTCTGCGGTAAAATGTCTTCTCTGCTTGGTTCAGCGAGCCTGCCTAAAGTTTGCCAGTGCCTGTGCAGAGCCTGCTGCTTTTGTTGCAGGGCCTCTTGGTAAGCTTCTTGGCCAATCTTCTTCATGTTGTCAGGCTTAAACTGCCATGGCATCTGATCCAAAGAGGCAGCCTAGACACCACAGTCGCGCCGTAGTTACTATAGTTCAGCCCAGCCATTTTCAGCCAGTCCACGCTGACGTAGCCTTCAAAAAGTGTTCTTGAATGAGTTGAAGGTTATCACGAGGTTTCAGGTTCTGCCACGGCCCCTGCCTGGGGCTGCGCACGGTGGTAGCTTGGCCTGCACTTAGAGCTGTCCTTCCATGCAGGGCTACGCAGGGCTATTGCAAAACTGCGCGCCATGGATCCGGTTTTGACTACGATGAAGTATCAAGGCTTGCACTACTTCACGACACAAGCTCTGAAAAGCGTGATGTGTTTGGAGAGGCAAGCGACAGCCTGGCAGCATTGCTGACACTACTGCAGGGCCACCACACCTTCTGCGCAACAAGCAGATGTCTTCCAGCAACAGAAGCAGCAACACGTGGAACAAGCAATCGACAAAATCAACTCAGGGTCGACGTAAATGCGGCTTCTATTTGAACCCCCCCTCTAGCCTCACGGTCCTGAACTCCACCACTCCAGCCCAGAATCCAAAACCTGCTTCCTTCGAAGCAAGAGGGCAAGTGCCAGGCACGATGAAACTTCCTATTCAGTGAATACACTCTTTAGAAATGCGCCCAAAGTATTAACAAGTATGAGCGAAGCCCCTTGTACTTGGCCTTGAGGTCCATCACCAAGTGTATGAGTCATGTCACCCTAATCATCCATCTGCTCTCCCTCTCTTTGGTTTTCCTCTTGCAGTTCTTTTGGAGCCCCCGCTACATCCCCAAGTGTGAAGCCCCGTAAACCAAAATCCTCGTGTGTAAGCCCTACTGAAAGCCCAAACCCAAACCCCCTTAAGCCCCCAATCCTAAATCCGCAACCATATGCACCCTCTGCACCCTATATACCCTAAACCTCATTTATTCAAAGATCACTGCAGCACCCAAAAAAGCAAAAAAGGAAAACAACTACATACCTTAAATTAACCATCCTTCAAAGGATCCCTGCACCCGAACCCTCAAGCGGTTGTGTTAGACCAAGCAGCCACGCTTAGGGCCTCATGTCGGAAGCCGAGGGCGCTGTCTTTGAGTCAGGATGCCTAGCTTAGGGCTTAGGGTTTAGAGTTTGAGGGTTTAGAGTTTCAGGGTTTGGAGTTTAGGGTTTGGAATTTACGGCTTAGAGTTTTGGGCCAGAGTTCACTGAGGTATTCCTAGAAATATTTCTTACTTATATGCATCATAATCCATATATAGAACCAAAGAGAACAAAGCGTCTATGGGGCCCCTAAATCTATTCCAGCTCATGGTTGTTTGGTGCACTCAAGAAAACTCAGCATTGCAATCAGTTTGGAGTTTGTCTAGATAGCCGCTATAGAAACCTACGGGGGGCCGCCTAGAAATTTCTCACAATCCCTACATATCCACGCAAATCACGGGAAGGGTCCCCTGGGGCCATCGTAAAAACCCCAAATGTGGGTTTCCAAAAATATTGGTCGCTGATTGCCAGTACCTATCCTGAGGATGGTCACATGTTGGGGTCTACATTGGTTATAGCATTGGGGTGTTTTGGCAAACCCCTAGAATCCAAGCACGATGGTACAACACTTGAGACTTCCATTTGCGGTATATCTTCTAGCATTCCCTACGGAGCCATGAGCCAGTAAACCCCAGAAAACATGCACGCTGAACACTCACCGCTGGATTGCGAACAAGTCTAGAGGTGTGTAATTCAGCTGAGCCTCCCTAGGCGCAATTTCTGGGTCCGACACTTGAAAAGCAGAGTGCCTGATGACTCAGGCGCTCAGTTTTCGTACCCCTGCTAGCAGTAGCCATAGCCGTAACTGTATCTGTAGCAGTAGCAGTAATCGTGGCAGTTGCTGTGGGAGTGGGAGTGGTGGGAATAGTCAGAGGAGTACGAGCACCAGTAGGACGGCGGAGCAGGAGGAGCAGTAGCACGAGCTGGAGGAGAAGAGGAGGAGAAAAGGAGGAGAAGAGGAGGAGAAGAGGAGGAGAAGAGGAGGAGAAGGAGGAGGAGAAGGAGGAGGGTAGCAACAGCAGCAGGGTAGCTGAGGTAATAATCAGGCAAAAACGCGAACAAACGTGTGCAAGGCCAATGGATTTCGCTGACCTCCACGAGCTGTTTCTCGGATTCAACTGCTGGCCCGGGGTTTTGAAGCACGGGATCCGATTCTTCAAAATGTTATCGGTGCTACAAGGATTTGCAAATGGCGTTTGTGTGTTTGCTGGTCAAGTGCCCAGAGGATTAATCCTCAAAATTATGCCCACAGAACCCTCGAGAAGGACACCCCGGGATTTTGGAAGCTTCCATAGATCAGGAGCAACTTTCACAGAAGGCTGGGCCAAAGATGTTAAACTCTTGGCATACAACAGCATGATCTCATAGGGGGTATGTAGGGAGTAATCCCCTTCCCCTGGTATAATAAAACCCCCTCCATTCCCTAACAATGCTCCCCACTCAAACAGTATGTATGTGGGGGATATGTCTTATTAGGACTCTTGCCCTCCAAAATCAAACGAATCATCCTCCCCCCTGCCAATTATAATGGCGCTTCTGGCCTGAATTGTTATGTTATGTATCACAAGGGTTCAGAGTTTAGGGTTTAGGGGTTTAGGGTTTAGGGTAGTTGCGGAAACACCTCCATACTTCCAGGAGGGCCCTTTGATTTTCGTGATGTAGGCGCAATCCTTTTTTGTTTTCTGAACTTGTACGGCCGTTAAATCTAGTTAAGTTTTCCTTTAGCCTGCAACTAAGTAGGGTTAATTAGCTATTAAATCAAATTTCCTGCTATTAGAATCTTTTATGCAAGTTCTCGAAACTCGGAAGTTTAGGACCCTGACCTTACTTGGATTTCCTTGTGGAGTTTTCGTGTTGTCAACAACCATTTTAAACATGACAGAGACTGGGGAATCAATCAGATCCCAGATCCTTCTTGATTCTGAAGCATACCCTGCTCATTGCTTCAGGACTCCCTTCATCGTTGGGGTTGACTACTGGCTTCTTTAAAAGCGTTTTCCCTTTAAAAGTAGTCTTCCAGGAGGGCCTCTGGATGCATGATGCAGTTTCAAGAGGATCTTGCTAGTAGGGTAAGGGATTATTCGACCGATGCGTTTTGGTGATCCGCAACCCTCAGGATCCATACCGTATCTTAGCTACGTTGGCTGGTGCTGTATTGCCCTGTGAAAAGAGAACCTGCAGGCTCTCAAGGGTTGTATGCTGATCTTTCCTGACATGATCTCACAATGCAACTCGTAGAATTCGTCATTTTCATGAGGAGGAGCTTTTTTTGGTTCATCGCACTGTCGTCAAATTCCCTCCTCCTCAACACTACGCACCCCAACCCAAGCCCTAAATCCTAAGCCCTAAATCCTGAACCCTAAACGCCAAACCCTAAATCCTGAACCCTAAACCCTAAATCCTAAACCTAAAATCCGAACCGGATTCTGATTCCAGGCTCGAGGCCGCCCAAAGCAGTGATTCTTCCAAGGAGCTTCCGAAAGGGATAGGATGGGGGGGTTTTAGGGGTTTAGGGGTTTAGGGTTTCGGGTTTAGGGTTTAGGGGTGGGCCACCACCCCTTAACGTCACTGCCCCAAAAAGGTTTTCATGAAGGGGCAAGAACCCGACCCCCAAAGCCTTACCATAGATGTTTGGCCCACGCCGAAGAGCGCTTTGGGTTTGGGAGTTCAGGTTAACCTATTGCTTCTTAGTGGGGAACAGCGAATATTCTCCTTGTGCCGCATATGTATGAAGGCGCTGTAGCTATTGACTCTGCACTCTGAACCCACCCAAACGCTGCACAACAGCGCAAGTACATTCTAAATCCTGGCTGTAGGCCTCACAACCCCTGAAGGGTTACTGAGAGTTTTTGGGTACCTGTAACCCCTGTAGTAATCCCTAATCCTTACACGCTAACTCAAC